TGAGAGATGATATTCAGAACTCTTGCAAAGCTAAATATATAAGATGCAATTAACGTTATGAGATAGATATATATTATTGATATTGTTTCTCCCCATTAAGTAAAGCCTTAATCTTAGGGTGTGTTTGGATAGAATCCAAACCATGGTTTCAGAAGTGCTTTTACGGATTACGAAGTAAATATGTGGAGGAGATTATCTCGTTTTGCGGAAAAGTGCTTCTGAAACCACGGTTTGGGGATACCCAAACAGGCCCTTAATCAAACATAATAATAATTACCACATTATTATCTATTTCAGATCCTTCTATATATGCATCCTTCCCGCCAAAAAGGCCATGTGAAATGAAGATTGGCATATAGCATCCATCCCAAAGGTATGGTGCCCTCTGCCCATAAACATCACATGTGCCGTATAGGGAAGGTCAAGCATTGTGTGTGTTTGTAAACAAAGAGCTTTCGAGGGCTAATCTAATCCATTTTCGTAGGGGGAGGGCCACTCATAGGGAAGCGTTACAATCAATCAGGAGGACTTATAATTTAAATACAAAATAGGAAAGAATGCCTCCAAATACCTGCATTTATTGTGTAAAGCAAGTCATTCGTACATATATGTACAGTCCAAATCTAAATTAATATAGAGGGCCGATCTTTGAAATTAAAGGAGTTAATTTTATATTGTCAGGGATTCCTATATATTACCTTTCATCCCTAATATAAGAACTAGTTAGAAGTTGAATTTGATTTTAAATCACATTTTGCTTTATCTCAAATTTATAGTTTTTTTCTCTTAAAGTATCCAGATTCATTTTGTATATTAAGAAAATTTCTACCAAAAGATAGTTTTAATACACATGATTAAAGAGGATGGTTTAGAAAAATCAACACATACACATTTGTTATTAGTAATCAACTTAAATAATTTTTTAATATCTGCATATTAGTTATCTAGCTCTCATATTGAGGATATCTTAGTTATCTAGCTCTTATATTAAGAATACCATAGATAACTAGTATTTTTTTTTTCACAAAAGATATAAAGAGGATAATGTAATAAAAAGCTTTCACAAATATAATAGCTACCACATAAATTAACTATACGACGATTGTCTTATTTTGATTCTCTTCTCAAAATGATATCATCCTTATCAAGTTGGCGAGAGAGTGTGTGTACTGTGTATTATAAATAACACGGAGTTCATCTCTTTTCAGTAACCCAAACCATAGATGGATATGCTTCCTGCAACCTCCCAGATAAGTGGGTCCCAAATGTTCCTAAACACTCCTTCTTCTTCTTCATTAACGCCAGTCTGTGCTGTTGCACCTCAATATTATCCTAGCTTCTTTAATGTCGTTCCTAAGATTTACAACCTCCAAACAACCATGGAAACTATTTCTGAAGAAGAAGATGAAGATGAGGAGGAAGAAGAATATGACGATGAAGATGAAGAATGAAACCCAGCAAATCAAGCCTTCAGCTGACATAAGATGAAACCCTCTTTTCTCATATATAAATATAGCTAGCTCGACCAAGTCATAAATCTGATTCTGTGTTTGTAATATCTCAATGATTATATTATATTTTTGTTGAATTCCAAGTATATATGTAATTTTGTGAAAAAATATGAGTTGAATCTTATATAGAGCTAGCTGCTAGCTCACCAAATCAAAGCAAACCTTCACATGCAGCTTAAAGAAAGCTCGTACAGATCGGAGTGTGTAAATTTGTTTATTGATCTCAAGACATTTTTGGCTCTTTGCACCATCAAATTAACGCACCGAAATAGAATATATATATATATATATATATATATCAATTGCTCAATTACATATATTAGCACTAACATTTTTGGTCGGATTCTCGTATTCAGTGAAACTTTTTCAGATGAGGTACTATAATGATGCTTACTAATCGATACCCTTCTGGTCCTATTTACAAGTTACTTTCAATATGTTTCACATATATTAAGGAAAACTTTAAACTTTATTAACTTTCATTTAAAATTCAATAATTTTTAACTTTATCCTTCAAAGTTAGCACAATAGTAATAAATTAAGAGTAAAATTGTATATTACAAAATATTCTTAATTTTGGTAACAAAGCGATGCCAAAAAAAAACCCTCATAATTTCTATAACAAGCATTAATTATTGCAAGTTTGCGGGTAATTTTGCTCCACATGATCAAATCTTAACAAAAGGGTGAGAGTATAATTAATTTGATAAACAACCAACACTCCTATATATATATATATATATATATATATTATCATCATCTTCACGAACGTTAATTAATTTTATTTTCAAAAATTATGGTGGGGTAAGTGGCCAACCCTCTTAGACTGCTAGAAATACCGCATTATAAGGCCAACTATACGTACCCGCCTATCTATGACCTTTTCAAGCACTTCATTTGCAAATTAAAGCCATACACATATATGAAACTAATTAACCTCTAACGTCTAATTTTTAGTGTAGTTTTAGAACATGGCTATATATGGATATCTACCCGGTTAGATATCCCAATTTCAGCCAAGAAAAAATCTTTTACGTTTGAGATGTTTGTTATTGAACTTTTCCACAAAATCTGAAAACATGAAGAATCTATTTTTAATGATCAGTCACAATGTCGAGTAGTTCCCACATATTATATACTATCATTAGAAAATCCGGCCTTCATACAAGTCAATTAAAAGTCTTTGTTACCTAATTATTATTCTATTTTAAGCCTCCAAAAGCATATTCTGGAATGCGTAAATTAACTTTCCAACACCTTTTTTGTTATATATTTCTTATATAGCCAACCTAACTGTTTCTTTCTTTCTTTAGTTCACTGACCCATGTATATATATACACAGCTCCATTGATTTGAGATCATCAGCAGAAAAATATTCGGAGTTGTGAAGCAATATCAAAATCTCTCTCTCTCTCTCTCTTAAACCCTAAAAAGCTCTTTTTGATTGCGAAGATGGTGAAGCAAGTGAGAGGCATATGTGGAGAGGTGGCCCCAGCAATGCTGATAAACCCTCAGAAATGTAGCCCTAATTACCTTCCAAAGTTGGAGCCTATCATTGAAGAAGCATCTGAATACAATAATCAGTTTGAGGTTGTTTTACCAAAAAGGATTCTCTTTGTTCTTCCACTCTCTCTCTCTTTTGTTTCCTACTTCTTCTTGTACAGAAATATGAAGCTTTTCAGTACATGAATAAAAAATTATGTTATTTTACTGCCAGAATATGACATCTAAAGGGGTAGTTTGCATACACATGTTGTTTGTGAGGATGATACGCAGATATAAAAGATAAGTTTAAAAAATTATCGTCTCAAATGTTAAAAAAGTTTGTTTTCACTCGCATATTATTCTTCGCCAGTGAAATAATGTATTAACGAACAAGCAGAAAGGGCTTTATGAGCCTACCAGTTTAATTTAGGATTCATGGTTAAGGGATTTTCTGCATATCAAACTCAAAAGACTTTAATTCATTTGTCTTTGATAAAACGAAGTTTTTTTTATTATGTTTTGAAGGTTATAATGTTATCTACATGTAATTGTTCAAAATTCTGCGGAATTGACGAACGTATAATCTTCGGAAAGCTCCCCTTTTCGTGAGGTAAACCTCTCCTTTTTGTATTAACAAGCCAGGTGGTACCGTACGTAATAGCCAAACAAATCAAAACAGAAACAACAAAATGACTTTTAGTCTGTATTAATTATTAATTTTAATAATATTACCTGCAATCGTTTTTCTTCAAGATACATGAAGAACAGTAGTTTTTAATATTATTCCTAAATCCTAACTTCCTATGTAACATAGAGGCTAAAATTCAGCCTCACTAATTTTACAGAAGAAAGAACAGAGCCACAGAAAGTAATAGAAAAAAAGGAAGCAAAGCTTCGTGATTCAGGAATCCAAAGAAATCTGGTTCATCTTCAATGATGGGTTCCAATCTTGGATGACTGGAAGATTTCTGGTGAGATATCAAGAGGGAAGGTGCAACTTCATCCCACTTGCTCCTATACTGAAACTCCATCATCGCAGAAATTTTAATTAGATGTTTTTTTTTTTCTCTGGGAAAGGAAAAGAATAGAAACCTGATGATAAAGAGAAAGAAAGATTTCTGTGACAAAATTGGCGATAGAAAGTGGAAGGACAATGAGAATTTATAGAGTTCCTATGAACAGAAGGAAATATCAGAGAATTGCAGATTACTTGCTTGAAGAGAGATCTGAGCAGACTTTGATTAGAGCTAGGCCGTGATGTGTAGTCATATGTCATTATTCTAGAAAGATTAATAATTTATTTGTAAGGAAAATATGAGAAGTGATTTAAAATTGGGAATAGTTTTTAGATCTAGTCAATTTAATTTTTTTTAAACTTGAAAATTCGATTAAAAAACGAAACTTCTACTAGGGTGACATAGGTATTCACTCTAGAAGGCAATAAATGATTTTATATTCACCGTCGTCTCAGGCGGCAGAATCTGAAGTCTACTGGGTTTCTAGATGCAGATGGCTTGCAAGGCTACGCCTTTTCTGTTTTCAAATGACAATCGGGCATCTTATTTGATGACTAATTCTTGATTCAATTATTACCCCAAAAAAAAAAAAAGAATAATCCTCATGGCTAATAGATCTGATTGTCAAATCAACTAAACATTATCGAATTAATTGAAGATAATTCTATAAAATTTGAACTCTCAATAGAAAAAAAAGATCAAACCACAGTATATAATTATTGTATGTTTGGCCTTAGTCTCAATATTGATAGGTAACTGATTATTATATTTTCATAAATAATTTATAAATTGTATAAAATAATATTACACAGTTGTTTATAATTGAAATTCATAAAGTCGTAAGTTTCATAAGGTGCAGGCAGCAAGCTAGTTGCTTCTACCAAATCCTGGCTTTTGTGTTCTAATTGGTTTCCAAACAAAGAAGTTCCATAAGCAACATTTGTTTTAAACCTGACTTAATTACACACCTTTTTTTAAAAAAAAAAAAATTATATCAGGAGGATTAAATCCTTAACTGCTACTCACACTCCATCCCATCCTTGCTACTTCAGCCAGCCCATGTGGTTCTGAAATAGCAGTTTAATATATAAACTCTATATCGGTTGGTAATACGGTTTGTGTTTCTAAAGCATTTTCTCACTGGGCTATATACTTTTCCATTATCATGTACAGTTAAATACAAAAGCTAACGTAACAAGAATGCCTATCATCTGAGATCAGCGTCAGAGAAAGAGAATATTTTGAAGGGGAAAAAGTATATCTAATCCTTCTTTTAGGCTATCAATTTGCAATGCCTACTTGCTCCAAGATAAGTAAGCTAGGTCCCCACAAGGCCTGCAAACAGAAAAGAAAGAAAAAAAATCAGCTGTGCTGTTTGCAAATTGTACTAACGGGAAAATAATATACAAGCATATACAACACATCATTTGACTCCTTTCAAGAAAGTTCTTCAACGTTTCATATTCCACAGTTTAATTAAAGAACTTGATAGGAAACACCCAGGAAATTATCTTAATCATTTTCTCTACTCTTGAAAATAGTTCAGAATCTTCCAGGAAACTGCATGATAGAATAGTTCGGAATAGTGGGCTAACTGAGGGATATTTCAGCACGGGTAACATGAGGAATATTTGAAATCAAATTTCAGAATCAGGTGGGAAAAATGACAAAAGCTACCGGACTCTTGTCATTTTATGTACTATAATAATTACCTGGGATTTTTCACATGAAGCAACAAGAAGATGACGGAGATCAATACACAAAAGGACCCAACAAAAACATTTGCGAGTCCAAGAAAATCATTCTTTCCACCCAGCCAGCTTGATGTTGACAGAACAATCTTCTTTTTTCCACCAAAACTGTAAGTGTTGTAGTTATTCAATAGGTGGACCACAACAACATCATCTGCATCCAGATCCTCTTCAATTTTACCATACAGCTTCCGGAAGCTAGGGAGAGCAGCAGTGCGCATCCATACTAAAAGATCTTCTTGGTCACCAAGCTGAATGTGAAAAGAAAAATGGGCAGCACAGGTAGACGATGAGAACTCACATCAATATCAATCAAATATATAAAACAAAAACCGAATCCTTATCACTGTTTGAGTGTTTTCTATCTGTACATATAGGGTTTTGTGCCTCTTTAATTTTTTTAAATCATTCAAAAAAAATTCACCTGGATTACACATGAATCAGATCGTTGAAGTGGAAAGATAAGTATTGCACATGAATATATAGTTATGAGATTATAAGAGGGGGAAACATCTATAAGCCTCCACCAAACAACTTAAGGTTTCAAGGTGAATTGGTTCCTGAAGTTTTTTCTCCCCCACAACCCCCTCCCCTTCTCATCCAACATTTTCTGCACATGGTGGGCATACAAAAATTAAGGCTTCAGCTTAACCTATATGCTTGTCAATATCCTCGATTATGATAAATACTGTTCTGATCATTTCCAACTACTCTGCATCGGTATTGACCACGAAGGAAATCTATCAGGCATTGCAGCTGAAGCCACAAATTAATTGTATTTAAACTTTTTTCTCATAGACAAAAGAATATAGAAAATCAACTATGGGCCATATCATAATTAGGAAGGAAGTAAAGTGATATATTGTATGCAAGATTTGGAACTTACAGGAATATGCGGATTCAGCTTTCCACCACCAATCAAGGTCCCATTCTGAAAATTAAAAGGGTAAACATGCTTCCCAAATTTATGATCACGATCACTCTTCCATGCAATGTTTTTCCTGTTGACCTTCAAATCTGATGGTCCTCGACTAAATCTGTACGTATCGTTGAACAAACTCCATGCTATTAACCCGCAAGGTACAATTGGCTGACCATTAGAGGACTCTAAAGGTTTACAAGAACTGGTGCCATTGTGCCCAAGTCCTTGTAAGAGTTGTTGATCACTTCTACTCTTGACATACCTGAACAAATTTCGAGGACTTCAATGACCATAGCAATCATGCAATAGAAACTGATTATATAAGCACTCATGTTTACGGATGTAAAGAAGGAGGAAAATAAATAACACGTTTTATACATCTACTATTGAAGAATTTGAAATGCTTTCGGGTACCCTACATGATATTCATTCCATAAACATCTCAACCAAATGTCCAGAAAGCATACCATGAGGTGGCATGAGCTTTCTCATGGTTCAACTCATAAATTTTGGTGAACAATAACAAAAAGAAATTAAGAAAATCTAAACTTGACAAACAAAATCCGCAACTAATTTTTCAGAGGCGACCTAAAATGTCAAAGGGAACAATTAGAAAATATCATGTAGATCCCAGAGATTTATAATTTGGTAGATCTAAAAGTTGTGAATGGCAGGAAAGTAAAAGTTGCTTTTGAAGGGGAAACAGTGTAGATATCTAAAATCATTTCAAGGGACAATTACCAGCTCTCTCTTTTAAACTTTTTAGCACTTTATTAAGAGGAAGGGCATAACAATATTGTGACTGCATAAAGAAAGAATGACTGTTATATCCATCAAATAACTTAATACCAATTGATAGTTCAATTCTTAATTTAGTTTCCTTTTAGCTCTGCAATCATAACGTAAGCTTGGGCTTCAAGGCCCTTTTGTATCTGACCATTTTATAGCTCAAGGCCTAAAAATTTGGATATGATCATTTTATATGACAATTGACTATGATATCTTCTGCCTTTACATGGAAAAATCATTCTGCACGATTCTTCAAGGGTACTAGAGACATTCAACAAGCAGCACAGATGATAAAGCAGGCAGGTGAGGTGACAACCAAAAACTAAATTGTCTTGAACGGAGCAAAATCCAGCTTAGCTCCAGCATAAATACTCATGATGTTATTGAAATCCCCAAACTTGAGGATATACTTATGAAATACATATTATTTGTAGACCAGGACCAAGAAAAAAATAATAGACGAGAGGAAAAGAAAGTGGAAGAGACTGAAGAAATGGGAATGCAATGCCATGCAAGAGCTCCATGGTATATAAAGGGAAATAAAGCATCCTCACCGTCGGTGGTTTTGGTAATAATTATCAAGCTGATAATAGATATAAATTGGTGCTCTCATTGATTTAGGTACCTACAGACAAGTTGTAAACAAAATTAAGGGACCGTAAGCAAACAAGTGAATAGATGTATGATGAAAGAACTAAGTATCCACAGGATTTTGACATTGCGAATTCCGGAAAAGGTCTCAGAGATCAAACAAAGACTGCAGAGATAGCATGACTAACTAATGCAGTCGAAAGATAAATGACTAATCACCTTCAAGAATCGTGAACAATTTTTGGAGATTGAGTCATCTTTGATATATGCAACCTTGTTACTTCTATATTCTTCTGGAACACATTCAACATCATACCTATCCACAACTTCAACAACCTGACAATCCATAGGTCAAAAGTATGTTCCACCAAGCGTTAAGCTTTTGAAGAGAGAAGAAAAAAAATCACCGCGCAGAATGAAAAGAAAATAGAAATGCATTTTACACTATAGGAAGCACGAAGAGTGACAAGCCCAACAGGAATGAAAATGCAACCCATCAATAGAAATGCAGCAATGACCTGCGTAGTGCATGATTGAGATTTAGCACGCACATTTTATGAAACAAAGCACCTATTAATATTCAAATAATGTCAAAGAACTTACTGTTGCTGGTGTAAGGACAGGTTTACAAGCTGGAAGGTTCTGCTGGGTAAACTGGTAGAATGCTACAAAGCCACCCCCACAATGACATTAAGTTATATTAAAGAAGTAAAAAGGTTAAAGATTTTAAAAAGGAAGTTCATGCGCAGAGACTTATCTAAAAGAGAAACATGAGATGCAGTTAAAAGTAAACCACCGCACAAGACTTTCTAAACTATGCAACAGATAAAATCGGCACCAAATTTGATTCATCCTCCAAGTCAGAGTCACTTTTCACAAAAAGATATATATCATAAAATGCACTGAAACAGTAATGTAATATCAGGCCCTTCAAATATACTGCAACTAAATAAGTACTCTCATTACAATCTGCTGTGGCGGTAGCCAAGCAGACAGTGACATTGAGCAAATGGCAGCCACGCCAATATGCACATCTTCAGTAAACCATAAAAGCAACTTCTTTCTCTCTTTTCTTAAACCCCCCCGGGGGGCGGGGGAGGGATTCAAGGCAGCAAATGAACGCCTGTTGGCTTCTATTTAGAATAGGTGGGATTGTCCCCCTACATTTTATTTTCCTCTTAGTCTCTAAATTCCTTTATTCTTAGTTCTTTCTGGCAATGTGAACCCGAGGCCTGAAGAAGTATATAATAACTAATTTAAATATATGATTACTCTGCCACATCCTCTATAATTGTGAGTTTCTAACAGAGACAAAGGAAAAAAAACCAAATCTCAATGAAGTCAACGAACAATAGGTCCAAAACAAAAATGAACCAACACTCTTTTTGACTGCTGATAAGAATTACATATGCTTAGATCTTAGTAAAAAAAGAAAATTACAATCTAGCCTTGAAACTTGAAATAAGGAGAGATAGCTTAGAGAAACCATCCCCTAACATCTAATGTGTGTAAGTAACCTCCTATAATCTGACATGTCTAGATGATGTCCCAGTAACAACCCAGTCCATTACAGACATATCAAATAGAGAAACCGGAATTTATCAGAAATTATAGAGATAAAAACATAAACAGAATAGTCCTCAACTGTGGGCGTAAAAAAAAAGAAGAAGAAGAAGAAGAAGAAAGAAACAATCGAAAAACTGCCGTGAGAAACAAGAAAAACACACCATTATTTCGCCTCGAACGTACTGAGATTGGTTGGGAAGCATGACCACCCGTGGCAACTGTTGAAGAACTCCCAGCCTCAACTTCCATTGTCACAACTCTCCAACGTTCAAGATGCCGCTCAACAGACTAACAAATCAACCTGCTGCAGCACTTGCATTCTCCCAACACTGCATTGAAAGTCAAAATTCCGAATCACTTAACTAGGAAATAGCTATAATTTGTAATATAATCAACCAATTTTCCACCTTTGCAAATCCGCGTTTATTCTTCATAAATCAAAATATCAAATTAAGCCTATTAAATGCAGATAAAAATTCCCGAAACACAACCTATACTCAATCTGATAATTCACTGCAATAATCTGACCATTTCGAGCTCAATCAAAACAATAGAATAATTCAAAAGATATCCTACTCCAACATAATTGTGATCCTTTATTCGTCTCCCACATATTCTCATAAACTTAATATATTACCTTGTAATTTACGTTGATCCCAGGCTTGACCAAAGCACAAGCTGAACTGAATGTCTTTTCGAAGCGAGATTCGGAAATGAAGAAACCGACTTTACCAGATGCATAAGTTAGCGAGGGAAAAGATTGCTTACCTACAGAGAATTAGGAATCACTGAGCACTATATTCTTCGCTTACAGAGAGGGAAGGAAGCGATCACCTGCACAGCAAGCCATGAGCAAGAGAAGAATCCCAATGTTCCAATTTTCCGTTTACGAAGACGACGACTATGAATATCTACTATTTGTCGCGTAAGAAATACTCATCTCTCTACTTTTCTTCTCTTTTCAGCCTCAGCCCATCCTTATGCTTTTTGAGCTTTTGTGACAATTTTTCACCATCAACGATTTTTAGTCTTTATGAGAAAAGAGCATAAACTATTAAAAAAATAAAAAGAATTCAAATGCACCATTTGAGTTGTATTACCATCTTATTCTAACTAAATAAAGTATAACTTTTTAATTTTAATTTAACAAAATTATGACAGGCAAAGTGTTGATGAAACTCTTAAAAAGATAAGACAATGAGTCGTTTTCAGTGATTTAAAAAAGGGTAAAGATGGAAAAATGATAAACAGGTTCTATTTTATTATTTTTGCCTAACGATAAGTTAATGCATCAAATCAAAATCGTCAGATGTGGAAAAATGATTGTCTGCCCCAAAGGGAAAAAAAAAATAGTGAAAATTGGTTTTAGGTTTTTTATACTTTTTCTTACAAGTTAAGATATAGTGATGTACCGGCATATATCCATTCCAAGCTATTGGAGAATTCAATATAAGTTTTGCTTATAATTTAAACTGCAATAAAATCATATAAATTGATATTGATAGATGATGATCGAAGCTTATTTTTGTTGTCATTTTGACAAATAAAAGAAACATTTATTTTTTTTCTGTTAAATATATGTATTCTTTTATTGAAGAAAATCTTATTCAAAGACACTAAATATTAATACTTTTCCCAACAAAAATTTGAATATTGTTTTATCACTTTATAAAAAACTAGCTATTTTTACTGGACTCAACTTCCGTTAGCAAGTAACATTCATTCTATTCATACATGAATTCATTTAAGAAGTTTCTTTGGACGCTGATGGCCCAAGAGAACGGGCTACCTCAAAAACTAATGATCAGTTAGCAAGTTAAATGGGGAAAGAAACGTGAGTGGAAAAAAAATTAAGCAGGTGATTGCCATAAAATTTTCAGTTGAAATTATTACATCTCACAGTAGGCTTTCTAAAGAGTGAATCATTTGCTAAGTCATGTCCTTCGAGAAGGCCATGAAATTCATTAACAAACCAACCGCCACTTTCAATTTCACTCATGGAGACACTGCTTTTCCAGCATTGCTCAAATTGTGCGTGCGTAGACTAGAACCCAGTTGACTCTCAGTTTCAATCCAGCTCTTACCAGGCATCTTCTTAACCCCTCTATCTTCCATTAACTTTCTGATCTCCACAGCATCATTCCAACGGCCTACTGCTCTATAAATATTACCCAGAAGAACATAACTGAGATGGTAATCAGGTACCAGCTCAATCATCTTCTTCGCGATTCTCTCTGCGGCTATAGAGTCTGAACATTTGGTACATGCTCCAAGAAGAACTGCCCAAAGTGATGAATCATATCTACAATCTGCATTTTCAAGCAAGTTTTCAGCCTCTTCTATCAGCTCAGCACGGCCTAAAAGATCGATCATGCAAGTGTAGTGCTCAATGCCATGTTTAATCCCATAGTCCTTTGTCATTGAGGCAAAAAGCTTTCTCCCTTCATCAACCAAACCCGCATGACTACAAGCAAAAAGAACAGCAAGAAAAGTTATGTGGTCAGGCTTCATCCCGTCTTTGATCATCTTCTCAAATAACTCAAGTGCTTCTCTCCCTCTTCCATTCTGAGCAAGTCCACCAACCATCGAGTTCCACGTTATCAGATTTCTAACTGGCATAAGTAAGAACAATCTCTGTGCAAAATCAATGCAGCCACATTTTGCATATAAGTCAACCAAGGCTGACTCTACTATAACATCTCTCCACCCACCCCTTCTTATGTACTGGCAATGAACCTCTTTCCCGTGTCTTACAGCTGCTAGTGCCGAACATGCCCGAAGAATAGTCCCAAAGCTGTAAAGATCCACCTCTTTCATTTCCCTAACAAGATTGATCACTGTTTTACATTCTCCATTTTGACAGTATACACCAAGCATGGCAGACCAAGAAATTGCATTCTTGTTGCTCATTCTATCGAAAATACTCTTGGATTCTCCAATAGAGCCACATTTTCCATACATGTCCACAAGACTACTCTCGACAACCACATTTCCACATAGCCCTGATGTAACAACCTTAGCATGAACTTCTTTGCCCTGCCTCAACCTCCCCAAGTTAGCACAAGCTGTCGACACAGTCCCAAACGTAAATCCATCTGGAGATAGCCCATGATTTCTGTGCATAACATAAAAAAATTCCAAAGCTTCATCAAACAAATCATTCCTTGTTAATGCTGAAATAACTGATGTCCAACATATAGCATCTGGTTCAAGCAATTCATCAAACAACTGGCGTGCGTCCTGGACACCGTGGTTTCTTCCGTACATGTCAATCAGAGCACTAGAAACAACATGATTCGAATCAAACCCACGACTCATGACCATTCCATGGAAGCATCTTCCTCGCTTTAAATCACCAAGCTCAGAACATGCCTTAATGACGGCGGATAAAGAAAAACCATTAGGTTCAACCCCAGATTCAAGCATTTCCGAAAACAATTGCAGAGAATTTTGGGGTTTCCCCACACGCACATACCCAGAAATCATTGAACTCCATGACACCACGTCCTTCACAAAAAGGCCATCAAACACTCTCCGAGTCTCCGAGAAATCGGGACCCAATTTGAAATGAAGAGCGAGCAAGCTGTTGCCGACAAAACGATCGATTTCAAGACCAGACTTGATAACATGGGCGTGGATTTGGATGCCATGGCCAAAAGAAACGACCTTGGTACAAGTCTGGAGCAAGGAGGCGTATAAAATTGGTTTGACACGGATATCACCAGAACTAATGGTGTTCAGAAGCTTAAGGGCCTCGGGAAGATCACCTGACTTACAGTGTTGGAGGATTTTGGACTCTTTGATTGATGACTCCCTGGAGTTCCTGAGATATGGGACAAGATCGCTGTAATGGCGTTTGATCAAGTGCTTCATTAACTTGAAGCCTTCGGCTCGGAGTCAGGTTCTCTCCCCTAACTAATCCCTCCGCCGCCTCTCCAATCGCCATTAACCCAAAACACAACGTTTTGTCATTTTTCCCTCAAAGGCTGAGCCTTTGTTTTCTCCTTTTTTGTGGGTATGGATCTATGTCCATTCCTATTCTTGTGCATGAAGTCTGAATGCTTAGTAAATCTAGCCACGTACGTCAGAGCTCAATCAGAACAGATGGTCGACTTTCCTTCAGCTGCTCAAAACTTGAAGATAGAGACATCAAAATGCTTCAGTTGGTGATTCTATACGGATGAAAAACCAAACTTCGTCTGAACAATTTTGTTGAAATTGGTCTTCTTCACTGCCACAGTAAATTTAGAAAACGCTTCTCACATTAACTGAAACACTTTCGTAATAAGATGAATAAGACGGGTTTGAACCTAATAAACTGCCAACAATTACTCCATCATTAATAAAACCGAGTCCTGAAAAATGCATACCGAGGCGCATCTTTCACCCAAGCCACATATCTTTCAAGGCAACGAATGGAAATCAAGATGGCACCACACTCAATAATCCCCGACAGAAAAGAAAATGTGAACACAAAGTTGGAACTAGATACAGAGCATCAATAACCTACATGTAGAATTGGAGAAATTCTTCAGATACAAAAGGAAAAAAAAAATCGAACCGAGCAGATCAGTTAAGCATCGACGAAGAAGCTCGCCAAGATCGGTGAAGCTACCCTTCGACTTTCCCGCCTTTTCCTTTGAGGAATCTGGATGCTCTTCACAGGCGGATGCCGAATCTCTTTTTTTTTTTTTTGGAAAAATTGTAATCAAGTTTTACCTAAAAGAATTAAATATAAAAAAATATTTTAAAATCATAAAATTATTTTGAAATCTTAAGAAGTTTTATTGTAATAAATTTTATTTCTTTAATTACTAAATTATCCTTATTTTTTTAATTTGTATTGACAACTAAAAGAATAACTGTTGATAACTTAAGGTATAAAAATTAACAGGTATTGATAATATATTTTTTCAGTATATCACAAAATATAATGCATTAATTGTCAATACCTACTGTGATAATTGTCAATCCTTGCACATTTAGTTGTCAACGACTGTTCTTTCAGTTGTTAATGCAAATTTAAAAATAATAATAAGTGTAATTTAATAATTAAACAAATAAAATTTATTGCAAAAAAATCCTTTAAGATTCCAGAATAATTTTATGATTTCAAGGGATCTTTTTGTCTTTAATTTTCCTGAATGCGACCTAATTGTAATTTTTCTTTTTTATGGACAAACGTTGGGATGACGAATCTGAGCCTTGGATTTTGACATCAGATGGATTTTGACGGAGGGAGGGATTCTTTTTTTTTTTTTTGGGTAATAAGAGGGACTTCTATACTATTTGTTTGAGGAGGGGAGGAACCGTTTTGGTAATCTGTACATTTAAAAAAAAAAATTATCAATTTTAAGTAATTAAATCTAATACGATTGTCTAGAATTGCAGTGATCTCCCATGAGCAGACATCATCGTTGAGCAGTAAGCCAGAAACGAATCTGCTGTTTTTATGTTTAGAAAATTAGAGGAAAAGATTTAGAAGAAAAAACATATATTGAAGATGATTTTAAAAATTATAATTATTTATAATGACTAAAAACCAAAATATAAATATAAAAATATTTCATGCTCCTAACCAGACAACCCCCCCCCAAAAAAAAAACCCTCCCTTCAGCCACCCCTCTTAATTAAAAGTCAAAACACTTATATTTAAAATAGATCCGAAGATGGCAGTGTTCTGAACAATAATCTTGATGTAAATTTGTTATTCTCTCATTCTATGTGCTCATAAAAGAAGGTGTATCATGGTAATGCGTTTCTTTGCCTGTGTTCAAAATTTTCAAACTTGCCACATACAATTAGTCAATATACACAACTATCATGTCCTTGTAAAATTTCCCAACTAAGACAATGGCCTCTGGCTTCTGAAGCCTTCCTTGTGTTGGTTGTAATGTGTACAGTATGACAGGGCTCAACAAAACGTGCCTGCAAATATCACACAAAAAGGAACAATAACCACGTCAAACCAATTGGGCATTTACAGGGGCGTTTGGTTTACCCAAAAAAAACTTTTTAAAATTTATACAAATATAAACAAAACTCCTCTCACATACTTATTTCATATAACATAAAATCACTTTTAAAATCATGATTTGGTTTCAATTCAAACACTTTAGTGAAAAAGACACAGCAAATCCACAAAAGAAACCATTTTACCTAAGCTTTGACTATAGATGACCAAATTTTGTTCCATGAGCTGATCAAACTATGAGTAGAAACATGCCCTTCAACAATTCTTTCAGCTGCGGGTCCCATTTCATGAACAAATTTGACTGATTCAGACAGCCGGTTAAGGAGATTCATCAAGGCAATTACTTCATTTCTTTGCAACTGTAGCTGAAGACAATAAAGTGCAGCATAGTGAGTTTGGTCAGCCAACTGGCCATAGAACACAACTCACAAATTCTTGCAGCAAGCATGCGAATGGTGGCACAGTTTATATACTCGTTAGTTTTTTAAAAGATTCCCTAAATATACTCACAAAAAGATTTTACTCCGTGTTTACAAGTTCAAGATATCATCTACACAGCAAAGAGGAAATCCATTTAACATGCATCCAAGAGTGAAAAACAATAAAGGGAAAAAAATCAGCAAAGTTTTAGAAGCCAGCGTCCTGGTTCTACAAACTTTTCCAACGAAGTTAATAAGGTGATAACCTCTGAAGAATTACGTGTTAAATTATAAGAGAATTTCATTTATTTAAAAAAAATTCATTTGAGTCTCGTATTCAAAACTTAGCAAGGTGGAAGGACCTGTGAATGGATCGAAAATATATACCCCTTCTGAATTCAGGAAGATGAATAGAAGTGACAACCATGAGCAAAATGAATTTACAGGAAATGCACTTACTGTTTGATCCCCATTTTCTTGACCATCAACAGTAAAGAGAATTTTTAGTGCCGTCCCAAGACCAAGAACCTGAAGTTTACCCCACAATCGACATTTCTCACATCCCACGCAATCCATTATTGCACTGCATGCCACAAAGGATGATGTCATTACTAGTGACAAACATATCGAATGAAGCAGGTTGCAAACTGAATCACTAGTAACATATTAGCGAAAGACCAGACATAAATTTATGCTTCGCTCCCATATACCTGTGTTAAATTCCCCATATCACATGGTGTTTACATACAAAACCCGCTTAGGATCATGGGAAGGAAGAAATTCAGTAAATTACCCATGGGATTGGGAAAGCACACCCAGGTACAAAACATAATCTAAACACAGAAATTGTGTCAAAATCCAATCAGTGTCTATTTTTTCCGATAATTTTTTTTTTCTGCGCATACCTAATTATCTAATAGGAGGAAATAGAACCCACTACTAATCAATCTTCCTTCTTAAATATGTATCAGAATTCAGAAAACTAGAGCATTAATTCAAAAGACACTATGCGTCAACAAAGTTCCATTTTAAAAATTTTGGAGTTTCTCAACCTAGAAGATATTTAGTAAAGGCAAGTGTTAAACCTACTATATTTAAGGAGATACCTAATATTTCTGAACTGCTGCTGAATTTTCTGTTTCAGCTCTGGACCACTTTGGCCTTTCCACAGCTTAGCTTCATCAAATGGAACTGGACATGCTGCTTGAAGTTTGGGGTTGTAAAGCATCTGTCTCATCAAGGATTGTGTCTTAAGGTCCTCAATAGGGTTACCTGTATCGTATTCTGCCTGTTCTAGATACTCCCCAGCCTAAAGAGTATTCAGTTGTAGATGGTAAAAGAACTATTATGAACCAGTCGTAAAGACAAAAAAATATCATGGTGACTATTGACTGTATGTAAAAATAGTAGGACAATCTATACTCACTTTGGTTACTGCTCGCAGGACAAAAAGGAAGGTGAAGTACACATTTCTGACACGATCTGGGTACTTTAAGACTCGATCATACATTAGAGTAAGATTCTGACCCCACTGGAATTACCAAAGAAGGGAAAAAAAAGTATATTAGGCAAATGATTAAGTTTGTTTTAATTTAATGCCCACCACTCCAAAAGGTCCATCAGTCAATAAAGACTATTATTCTGAAAGAAAACCAAATCAAAAAAATTTCAGGCTAAAACCCAAAACCAGTTAGCAGTCCGCATGCCGAAATAGAAGATGAACTGTACCTATCTGCAAAAGCAATGCAAAATTTTACTCAAAAAGAGGATCAGGTACTACTGAAAAAAACTCAAATTTACCAAGTTTGTCGCTTCATCAAGTAGATAATCAGCAGCTATATGAATTGATATGGAGGAGTGAAGACCAGATATCAATTTATACAAAATTTTTTCCTCCTGGCATGACTCTTCGGATGGATCTACAGAAGGCAAACATTTTCTCTCATCAGTGGATTATAAAGGATGCAAATAGATATCAATTTCATATAAAAGCACCCAACATCAATATACAGTAAGGAAAACAATTACTCTTTCATTATTTCTTCAAAGATAATCATTTCTCAAAAGTAAAGAAACAAAGAGAGCATGGCTGACATCTTTAAATTTTTAAAGTGCACATCCAAATGGCTAACCTCATCTATTGAAGAAAGATACAGATAAAAAGAGAGAGGTTGCTCACTTTAAAAGTTAGTTTAATCCGGCATCATAGAAATTTACTTGGCTCCAAAATTTAATTAGAGGCCCCATAAACTCCATAGGAGCTCTGACCTATTTTGTTTGGCACTCACTAGGTTGTATTAAAAAATTATGAAGAGGGTGAGAAGAAATGACCGAAGGGTATAAGCTTTTAACAGGCAACTCACATTTAGGGCAGTTCTCAGAATAGATAGCATCCCATATCCTTCTTGCAGACGGACCACTGTAACCAGTATATCTTTCAGGATTTAGTTGAAGGTTCACATAAGTCAATTCATCTGTACATCAAAAAAAATTGAAAATTGGCATCAATTGAGATGCTCTTTATTGAGTCTCAAGATAACCATGAAGACCAAAGTCAATTGCGAACACTAGCAACAGTACTCCAGCATAAATATATAATATTTTGGAGATTAACCAGGATAAAATGCAATGTTGTTTAAAAGCATTCATACATATAAAGTGACAAACCATTGTCAGTCTCATCATCGCTAGTCCAGGGATTGTCAGTTACTGTCCATCCTCTGAAAGCTCTTCTATCTACGGTTCGATCAACAGCTGCTTGAGGTTTTCCTTCTTGACAAATAAGGTCATCCGCTGGAAGGCGACGAGGCTTCTTGAATAATTCTGGAAACTCATTCTCTGGACATTCACATACACTGCAGTCCCGCAAGCGGCACATGCCATCGTCAGGCCAAAAAGGACAGTCGCACCATAACTTAACCTACCACAGAACAACCAACCTTTGTCATTCATTGCATGAGTCCGGCAGCATACAAGCATTAACATTTCAAATAATCACATGCACACTGTCTACTGGCCAAAAAAAGACGCAGACATACTCCCCTTCTCTCTAGAAAGACTTTTCATATTCTGCCAGAGGTTTAACTAGCATCCAAGCTAAAACACGGATATGAACTAATTCTAACAAGACACTCCAACACTAGAAGATCTTCTTCAAACTCAATTGTAAAACGTATTATTGGGACATCCTCGGTACTTGTAATGGAAAGTCAAGATATTCTCGATTTAAGAGAAGACCGGCAAACCTTGAAATATCGAAAGAATGGGGTTTTCACAAGCTCCTGAAGCGATGGATGCAACACTTCCACGTTAATATGGTTCACGGTCTCATAGTCACAACAACAATCCTCCACTATGCCACTATACTTGTGCGTACCCTGCAAGGGGGGGCATATGCAGATCAGAAAGAAAAAATATAAACCACAAAATAAGTGATTATGTAGAACAGAAAGGAATTAGCATTAAATCACTTTCTACATCGCACCAAGCATCTGAATTTTAACCAAAGATGAATCTTCTGAAAATAAGATTTGTCCAGAAAATAGCTTCCAATCGGAAATTTGATTCCTTAAGTATAATACAAAGGAGAAAATATTTCCTTCGAAGCAATAAAGTTTTCCAAAAGGCACGAAGCATGCTATAAACCACGTCATGACTTCCAATGTAGATAGGAAACTCCATATTTTCACTTTAATCAGAAGAATCGTGATGCAATTCGACGATCCCATATAGGTACTCTGTGATCTTGAAGTCAACTGAAGCACAGACAAATTACCTGAGCACACTGACAAGCTCCGTTGATAGCTCCAAAAAGAGCCATATTGGGAGAAGTTTTGTATAACACTGCCATGGCAACAAAGATAGCAATAAGAGGACCCAGCACCCAAACACATAGGGTCCAATAGCCCTTCTTCTTGTCCTCCGAACCCATCTGGTCCGAATCTGAACTAATCTGCGTGCTTTCAACACAAATAGCCAAGATTTTCCGAAACGAAGAGTTATTGTTCACTGGCCGAGAGAAAAACCGACCAAGAGAAGAAAGGGAAAAATCTCAGACAGCCTTGTATGATCACGGAAGCGTGAGTTTCGAGGAAATGCAATGTGGCGAAAGAGTTTCACGCATTTAACGCGGGTCGGGGGGTTAGGCGAGGTTTAACTTTTCTAGTCCAAGGTCTACTCAGAATGGAAGAAAATCAAATCTCAGGAATTAATGTTGAGGACGATGGGCGCTGTTGATGGTTTTCCTTTTCCGTTAAGACAAACAATGGGCAATAGGCAAGAAAGAAATGTGACCCGTTGAATCCACAAATAAACAAATTTAATTTTTATATTTAATTAATATGTATAAAAGTAGAATGACAGGAATACCACCGACCGAGAAAACAAACCCCCTCCCTGCCGCCTTTCCTCGCCGGCGACGAAACCGGTTTAGCTATATTTAACTCACACGAAGATTAACAAATTGATTTCAAGAGACTTAAACAAAGCTTCAAACGATATCAGATTAAATGGCATAAACTAAAAAGATTCAAACAAACAGATTAAATCACAACCCCGCGCATGGGATTTCAAACAACGATTTCAACAATGGATCTCAAATCAACTCATGTTCACCGGCCAAAGATTAGAAGAAGATTGTCGCCGGAGAGAGTGGAGAAGGGTATTGGATTACTCGACTAGAGGAAGGTGGAGAGGAAAAGGGCCGGTGGTACTCAGTTCGAACAGGTCGACGCTGGTGGTGCTCCGCCCGAGGAGGCCGACGCTGGTGGTGTTCAGTTCAAAGATGCCGCCGCTGCTGGTGCTCCCGCAGGCCCAGATTCTCAGAGAAGAAAATGGAAGCGGGTGAGGACAGCGAAGAAGAATTAGCTGGCGTCGGATAAGTATGAGGTGAGCAAGGAAGAAGGATGAAGTAGAGGAAGCGGTGTCGCCGGTGGCGGTGGTGTAGAGTGGGAGTCGACGAGGAGGAAAGGGGAAGGACGGAAAGGGAAGGCAGAAGCCTTCGGAAAAAAAATGATACGCAGAGAGAGCAAGGATATTTTTGGCAATATGATTAAAAGAGAATTACAATGAGTTCTTTTTTTTTTTTTTTAATTAACCGGAATTACAATCAGACTCTAAAACTACTAACAACTTCGAATAACAAAGCAACAAGTTTCAGAGTAAACAATAAACAATCTGAAACTTCTATTGTAATTTTTTTTGAATATTATTATAATTCCCCTTTTAATCAATTATTAGTTTTGATCTTAGAACTTCCAGTTTCGAATTTTCAATTTTATTTTAAAATCCTATTTATTTAAAATTCTTTGTTTGTTGGATAACTTATTAAAATTATATTCATATTATATTTATTTTAAAATTAGAATAATATTATATTTATTTTATTAATAAGTAATAAGATTACATAAACAAACAACGCTAGCTTGAATTCAGATTTCTCTAGAGAGGAATGTACAATTTTATTCATCATATATTTGGGTAGATTTATTCTTATAGAATATAATATATATTAAAAATGGAAAAAAATTAAAAAATTGTTAAATTTTAAGATTGATTAATTAGGTTTAAGGTTATTCTTGATTTCAATAAAACATATTAAAAAGTGATTTATAAATAGAATAAAATGAATTCAACCATAATTAGTCATGAAGAAATGAATAGATATATCATATATTGTGAAAGAAATTTTATCTTATTGAAAGCATTATTTTCTTATTAAAAAAGCTAAAATGTGAAAATCTCCTCTCTCTTTTTTGTTGCCTACCCAGTTCACCGGAGCTTTACTTCGACTACATCCGACTTGCGTCGCGCATCGGGCTGTGGTGGGTGAGTCACCCAACGAGGATTTCTGCATACATTGAGACTCAAACCTGAGAGCTCACTTAAACGATATCAAGCCGTTTACTACTTAGATCAACTCTTATTGGTATGTGAAAATCTCTTTTGAAGATTGGTTGTGGGGAAGCTAGCTTTTAGAGTTAGCTAGACCCAACATGGTGAAACCATGCGGAGCCCAAGAAAGAAACTGCGAGAAGATTTCTGCTGGACGCGGTCACGCGGCCGAACTGGTCGGCGAGACGGTGACAAGGAATCAATTAATGCCATTATTTTGGGCCTTGAGGAGCCCACATCACTAGCTCACAAACAAGTTTGGGCGATTCAGTGGCCCACAATAATAAATGAGCAGACCGTCAATGATCATCGCGGCCATGTAAAAGGACTTTTCATGTCACCCAAAAAGAAAAAGGACTTTTCAAATCTGACCCTTTAAGAGCATTTTTTCTTTCTTACCAGGCATAAGCAATATCTTATTGATTCGTCATACACTAATCCTTCTACTAAACTTAACTTTATTAGTGAGGAAGCCTTTATTGGCAACACTAAGTTTGAGCTACGTGCAGTAATCATAATTACCGGGAGCTATAGGAGTTGATTCAATTAAATTTGTTTTGGCCAAAAGTTTATTCAATTAAAATACAATCAAACAGTCAAAACTTTTCTGGGAGACAATATATAAGACACTATAAGTTTTTTAAATGCAAATCTCTTTTTCTAACTATTTGTATTAGAAACTACTCTCCTAATTAAAAATTCTTTTAATAAGCGCAATCAATAGAGAGTTCAGAAAAATATTATAAATTTTGGAGGTAAAGAGAATTAAATTTTTTACAATTAGGACCCAAATAAATTCCTATACTAAATCTTATATTTAGGAACTAATGAAGTCTACCTCCGGTCTTAAATATAAGAGTTAGTTGACTTATTTGAATAAATAAAAAAAATTAAGTTAGTTATTTGTAATAAATAAGTGTTGTCTTTCCTCAAATATCCTTATTAATCAAGTTTATTGGCTAGAACTATCATTATTAGAAGGACTATTTTGGAAAATAAATGAATAAATAAGAGATAAAATAAATTAGAATTTTATATTTAGAACTAAAATAAAAATCAAATAAGATTTTATGTCAAGTACAGCAGGAAGTATTAAACAACACCAGTGATACTCTTGCCCGAAGAATTATAAAGGGAAGAAAAGAAGGAAATTGATAGCTAGTAAGAACCTAGAAAATGGCATAAAGGTGATCCGTTTTCCTCTAATGTTTGTGTTCATGACTCCATGTGTTTGCACTATCATAGTAATTACCATATACACATTTCATATTTCGGTATCTATAAAAAAGACTGCTGCTAATTGACATATGCTCGACAACAATTATTTATTATTAATTACCTTTTGTCTTAAATATAAATTTTAGTTTAGAATGCAGTTTGTATATAGATTTTATATTTAAAATTGGAAGCAGTATATAATTATATATGCAATCCAGAACGCTATTTAAATAGAATGCCTTGGGCCCTTGGTTACAAAAGTTGAGGCAAGCAATTAATTAACATTAATCAAGCATGATCTTTAGAGATTCATGTAGGATCGCCTCAATAATGGAGATGGATTGTTACTTATTGATCTGAGTGAATCGCATACATGCATGCATTAATATATACTCCCTCTAATCTATAATATAAGATGCTTGTAATTAATACACACATACCATTAAAAATAATTAATATATACTCCCTCTAATCTATAATATAAGATGCTTGTAATTAATACACACATACCATTAAAAATAATTAATATATACTCCCTCTAATTCATAATATAAGACGCTTGTAATTAATACACACATACCATTAAAAATAATTAAAATTTAAAAGCATCAAATTTGTAATTAAATTAAATTTAAGTAATATTCAATATTACCTATTAACCATGCTAAATTGTAATATCATATTAATTTATACTCTTTCTCATATTTGTATTAAATATAAGCATATATGGAAAAACAACATTTAATAGTTATTAAAACTATCAAAGCGTCTTATAAAATAGATCAAAAATACCTTCTAGAAGACTTATTATTATGTAGACCTAGCTCTTAAAGGAGTACTCATATGTTCGACTGTTGATATTTATAAATTACTTTTAATATATTTTACCAAAATAAAAAAAAACTTAAATTTTCTTAACTCTGTCATGAAATGTAACATCTGTTTATCCCTATTAAACTAAATCTCATGAGAGCAAAGAGCAAAGTCTACACAATAACAAAGAAAAAGTAAAATTATACACTCATATGAAAAATTTAATGATATAACTTATGAATATGATCAAAATATATCTTTCCCTTTTTGTGTTATAAAGATGACTAGAGGAGTAGCAGCATATTTTATTTAGCCTTAAATATAAATCAACTCTAACCATCTCACCTGTTTTAAGGAAAACAATTAAAGGTTAGTTAAAATATTATCAAAGTCGTAATTTGATTATCATTGGATAAAAAAATAGGTTAAGTGTGTGTGTAAGGCTAGGTACATAAATCTTGTTATTATTTTAATTAAAACACACAAAAATTTCAAAGTGACAAATGTTCTAAAATAAAAAATACTGTCTCTGTCTCTTATTATAAGATCCAATTTTTTAAATGGGTTTGTCCTTTTTTATAAAATCCTCTTTGAATTTGTCTGAGTATTTAATACAATATTATCTATTTTATCCCTAATTGAATGTACTTAATACATTCTCTTTCATCATTTATCTCACTATTACTTTCTCACATTTATCCATTTATATATAAAGGTATATTTGGGAAAAAAAAACTGCATTTGCTACATATTAATTACTTTTAATTAATTTTAACTGTTTTTTTAAATCACGCAATTTAGTTAAAAAGATCTTATAATAAGAGACGGAGTAGTATATACTAATTAAAATACGTAACTAAGACATGATTAGATATTTGTGAAGTGCCTTAATTAGTGCCCCCTCAAGAAAACCACCCCAGCTTAGTGACATTATTCAGAATCATTAATGAGGATAATTATTGCGTATATGGAACAATCTCTAACTGGCTTGCTTTCTGATATTCTCCATTAAAGAGGGGCAGCCCCAGGAACCCATGTGATCCGAGTAAGAGATGATGATGAGAAGAGGGCACACGTTTCAGAAGCT